TTGGAAGCCGAAGTGAACAAAGAGCGACCTAGCGGAGACAATGAGAATTTTTATACCGGCTGGTGATAGACACGAGACAAGACCGCCATTGGAAATCATACGGATATTTTGTGCAGATATCGAACAACAAGCACACAAAAATGAGCGGCCAGGCTTTACGAAGTTTTGTGCGTGCGTGCGATGGCAACCGTGTCTGTATTCGTAGACAATGATAATATACGCGGGCGCTCGTGACCTTTAGTTAGTACGTCCGCGTATATAAGTTGATTAGATCACGCTCTATGAATTTTGTACACCACAGATCCTTGGGCACGCATGCATGATGCACACACACGCACACGCGCGCGCCAACACACCTGCACATGCATGTACACACACAGGCACACACCCACGCACGCACACACAAACACATGCGCACACGCACGCACGTGCACACATATACGCACTTACGCACGCACATATTCGCACATTCCTGCACTCACGCGGTCACGCACGCACGCACACAACTACGTAGGTACTCACGCACGCACGCTCCCACACAGGATCGTGCTAAATGTTTTAAAATTCCATAAAGATGGCTGCGACAGAAATAACAGTTACGCGCTAAAACCTATACTCCTATCGATACGCGGTCGGTAATATGCTCGAATTTTAGAAGTTATCTGACGTTATACAAACCACGTTTATGTTGGTGTCTTGTATCGAGTGACGTAAAGCCACCGGGGCCGTCGCCAGAATAGATCCAAGAATTGGCACTAAAATTTGAATTGTGTTATGAAAAACTTGGAAATATGCGTTGTTTCTAGTCAGGATAGCGCTGTGAAATTTTGATACGGGGTTAGGATAAAGTGTTAGGACTATGAATAATCTTCCGATTGACCATCGTCCGGCCGATAAATCCTAGAGTTTGGTAGACAAGCTGCGAAACCTGAGATGACTCGTTAAAAATGACGATTATTCGACGATCTAAGTAATGTAAATGTCTATAGAAATTAACGAAGAGGGTGATTGAGAGTATGGGCATGTATCATATTGCTTAGTTACATATGATAGTTGGTGTCTTGTATCGAGTGACGTAAAGCCACCGGGGCCGTCGCCAGAATAGATCCAAAAATTGGCACTAAAATTTGAATTGTGTTATGAAAAACTTGGAAATATGCGTTGTTTCTAGTCAGGATAGCGCTGTGAAATTTTGATACGGGGTTAGGATAAAGTGTTAGGACTATGAATAATCTTCCGATTGACCATCGTCCGGCCGATAAATCCTAGAGTTTGGTAGACAAGCTGCGAAACCTGAGATGACTCGTTAAAAATGACGATTATTCGACGATCTAAGTAATGTAAATGTCTATAGAAATTAACGAAGAGGGTGATTGAGAGTATGGGCATGTATCATATTGCTTAGTTACATATGATAGAGATGTGAAACGTTATAGGAACACCCGCTAAGAGAGAAGCGAGTCGGCAGCCGTGTGAAATATTTTTGTGGACAGAATGGCTAAGAGATTCTACGTAGATGCTGCATAGATATTCTCATATTACACGTGTATTGTGTGCGTTTTTTCTCCATTGTTCATTTCCAATTTTGGTAATGTTAGGGTAATACAAATCATATTTAATGGTAAAAAAATGGCAACTAAAATTGTGAAGATGAACTTGTGTGGAATAAAAATAATGATTCCCATTCGGAGAGCGGAAATCTTGATTGTGTGGGACCGGTGTTTGTGTGCGTGTCTTAGCTGGGCTCTTGTTTGTGTGTTTTCTGTATTGGTCAACGCTTATGTGAATATTAAATATCATTTAGCATTCACTGATAAAGATTTACGAGGCGTTGCTTTTAGAAGTGTGTTTTTACATTGAAAACGAAAAATTAATACGGGTACTAGTGTGCACTCAGACACGGAAGACGAGGAAACGGGGAGAAAAGAGGAGATAGAGAAAAGAAGGGTAGATATGTGGAGAAGAGGCCGGTGAGAAGGGATCTGTGAGAGGTGGAGACGAAGAAGAAGAAGAAGAAGAAGAAGAAGAAGAAGAAGAAGAAGAAGAAGAAGAAGAAGAAGAAGAAAGGTAAAGAGGGAGGAGCATACAGATAGATGATAAGTTGATGTTCTACGATAACGGAAAGATGAATGCTAGTAGAACGAATTGGTAATATCGAACGAACAGGGATGGGGTGCAAGGGGGGAACCGAGGGGAGAAACAGGGACGGGGATGAGGGGGGAGGACGCCGAGGAAAGGAACAGAGACGGGGATGATGGGGGAGGAAGCGGCGAAAGGAGGAACAGGGACGGGGATGACGGGGGAGGAAGCGGCGAGGGGAGGAACAGGGACAGGGATGAAGGAGGAGGAAGCGGCGAGGGGAGGAACAGGGACAGGGATGACGGAGGAGGAAGCGGCGAGGGGAGGAACAGAGACGGAGATGATGGGGGAGGAAGCGGCGAGAGGAGGAACAGGAACGGGGATGACGGGGGAGGAAGCGGCGAGGGGAGGAACAGAGACGGAGATGATGGGGGAAGAAGCGGCGAAAGGAGAAACAGAGGCCTGGCGCTTGTGTCATATATGGTATGATATTATATATGATATATATATACCTCTATACTACTAGTTTGCCCTAATTTAATTCGCCTCCTTCTAATTTCCCGGGATTTCCGCCACTAAGCACCGCTGGCCGTGCTTATTAGCCGTAAATTCGTGCATCGAGCCCGGCACCATATAAGCTCTTGAATGTTACGTTGGGGAAAGCTTTGTAGCAAAGCGGAAACATATAAACAGTGTCCCCGCGGTATTACGACGTTTGATTACTATTCTGCTTGCACAGGCTAGACGCAGTAGGTACCTATCCTAACCCCTGGATAAAACTGTATTAGAAGTAAAAACTTTTGCAATCTAAAAATGATGCGGCATTTTTATAAGTAGATCGGATCCCGCTTTCACGCGGTGCACAAAAATGCCCGACCGGTCACCATGGCTGCGGCATTGATCAATGGCACAATTACACAACAAGGACCATATCTCATTTCTAATGCCCTTTCTAGACGTCACGAAGCATCTATCTTGCGTGCATAATGCCAAATTAGTGCACTCTAGTTCCGAATTATACCACACAAAAATTCAAAAGAAGGCTTTCCAGAGACGAAATAGCAACAATGTTGCGGAAGTTATGCTTTCTGCTGCGCACTACTGTTGGCGTGCAAGCGGCTGAAAAGGGCGTGGATAGGATATGTTTACTAGGCACTTTCTAATTTTAACATATATTTTAATTTAATTAGGCGTGCGGGTTAGCGGTTAGGTTTAGGGTGTAGGGCACTTTTTAGGGTTTTTGCACATCATTCTTTAATTATATCGTAAAATATATGTTAAAATTAGAAGTTGCCTAGTAAACATATCCTACCACCCTTTCAGCCGGCTGCTGTTGAGCCGTCTTAGGTATATCCCTGTGGGGGGGAACCACGTGCTTTGGTTGACTATTAATTTGTTCTGGGCAGGTGAGTGGAAGTTCGCCATTGCCCATGTAACAGTATCTACATCTTCTACTGCCCCCTCCCGCTAGCTACGGCCCTGATATAATGTATAGATTATATATATATATCAGCGCCTAGCCAGGGGGTTCGAGGGTTCGCCCGTTTATTTTTTGAAAATTTGCAAGAATTTCACTCATTTCAGCTGTAATCAATTGCAAATCTCCATCGTGCGGGAGGGTGACAGTGAACAACCCTCCCACACCCTCGCTGGCCGCCTTCGGCGCCCGAGGCAGGGGCGCTGTACAGGGGGGTCCAGTAGGGCGTTCCAGACCCCCCTTGCTCGCCTGCAGAAAACGATCTGAGGGAAGTCTATATTTAAAAAAATTTTTGGGAGGGCCCCGACCCCCCCTTCGCGTGCTCGCACTTTGGCGAAATTATTACGATTAGACCACCCCTGTGACAAATCCTGTACACGTCCCTGCCGACCAAATTGCCAACATGTAAAAACGAAACCCCCCCCCCAATATAAAGCTGGCTTACGGGCCTGTATATATTATATATTTATATATATATTATAGACAGTGGTAGAAAGTGGGTGAAGGACACGCGAATCCTACTTGGATCGTATACCACCTCATCAATAAACCTAGGTTTTTTTTCACTATTCTTATATTCATGACACTTTCTGCGTGTAATTTGTGAAGCTGTGACCAGGGGGTCTAACCGTAACCCTAACCCTCCCCCAGAAATTTTTTGAAATTAGACCCCCTTAGATGCGTTTTCTGCGCGAGCAGGGGGGGGGGGTCCGGACCCCCTGTACACGCCCCTGGTGACTACCCTTTATTGGGTTAGGTGCCTATATACTAATCAATTTTGTGTATTTCAGTAATTGATTATCTCAAGTACTGATAAAAATACTTAAAATGCTTTAGTGGTCGTATGCCCTTAGCAGCGAGTGCTTGGACATTCGAACCTGCAACTATGGTAACAACGATGACATGGCTTTAATTTACCCATAGATATATACGCTCTTGATATGTACATACAAGCGTGTTTGTATATATATATATATATATCTATGATTTAACAATATAGTTCAGGGCCGTAGGCTGAGCAAATTCCTAGGAGAGCAGTGGCGGATTGGGGGGTCTTCCCACAGAACATTTTGAAAATGTAGATCGCAGGAGATGGTATTTGAGGAACATGTACAGCCTTCATTCTGACTACGACAATTCTCGTTCGGTAGAACAATTTATTTTTCCAAGTTTGCTCCAAAATCTAGGGGGGCTACGGCCCTGTAGCTCCATAACCATTGAATATAAGTGGACGCTCACCGCCTAAGGTGGTACTGGGAGTACTACTGAAAGTAGTTTAATAAATATACAATTTAAAAAATGTACTTGTATATTAAACGGATACAAATTTCATTGCTTTATGTCACTTTCAAGAAAAAGTCATGCAGTTTTCTTCGTATTGTCTATACACGCAAGCACACACACAGACACGCACACACACAATAACCACAAAATGACATAAAACTGTTTCTGCTACTGCCAATCTTTATTACGCCATTGAATTTTTACGTGCTTACTCAATATAATCCACAACAACAGTGCTGGGTGCTGGAATGATACAGATGACAAAACGTATTCCAAGAGAACCATGCTCGCTGGATAACAGACTTCTTATCACTTCTGCCACAATCCACGCATGTTTCATGTGGAACTTCGTTCTTCCGACTGCCAACACTCCACGATGTATTAACGTTACAAGTGCCTGCTGCCTCACTAATATAGGAGAGCTCTATTCCACTCAAAGTTCAACTAAAATGAGAAAGTCTGCAACCTTGACCATTTCGGGGGACTAGTAAAATTGATTATCACAGCTATTAGAGTTGATACCGGGGACCATTCATGACTGGCACAGTTAGCACGTACACTTCTCCAGTTATTGCCATACTTGCCAGCAATCTAGAAATTATGCAGGTACATTTACAATGACTGTTAGATCTCAACTGGGACAAGATTTATCATAGGCAGAGATTAACATTACACACGTGGAAAAGATTTCTAGAAAATGGCTTGAGGTACATTTCTTCTAGGAATGTTACTTACGCTGTCAAATAATAACTCTACGAAAATATATACTAAACGTTTTCAAGATTCAGCCTGCAGAGTTCAATTAATCGACACACATGTTGAGCAGTTTTTCGTCTTCACTCATGCTGTCTGCTGAACAAGATTTTATTTTAGGATGGCTGACATTTCGACTGCTCTCGCAGCTGTGACTATAAATACTGGATCAGCTGGCTAGTAATAGAATGCTCTCCCTAGCGACATTTATAGCTCGGCAACGCGACTCAAACGTGTGTGGGGGTGCACGCATCTGTTGCCGAGGAAGAGAAGGCGTGGAAGCCCTTTGAGCATCTTTCTCGCCCCGATCGCGAACAGAATTACACGCTGTATCTATCTACGAACCTGCTTTCACTAATTTAATGTGCAGTAAACACGATAACGATCACTGGTAGCTACGTACGCGCGCGCGCGTGCGGTTACGACGACGACGGCGACGACTACATTAAAACGAAAAACACGTAATCATCCTCTAGCTAACCCGCACCACTCACCGCATGCAGTCCGCCATCTACGACCATATCTAGTGAGTAGAACTATGGAGAACAAGATTCGCGAACCGAACCCAGCACATGATTTTTGAGACGAAGAGAACTAACGAACAAGAAAACTACCACGAGAACGTCGTTGGGCAGTACAACCGAACAGAAATAAGTGTGAGAGACGCAGACGCATGATGCACCGTGGGCGAGCCTATTTGACGTGTAGCTGCTGCTGCTGTGAGCGTGACTGCAGATGGCGCCACCTACTCCTGGCAGACGGCGAGGGCGTCGGCTCTCTCCTGGGCCAGCTCATCAGCGGTCACCTTCATCTTCTCCCTTCCAAAGTCATTGATCTCGAGTCCCTGCGTGTGCGAACAATGACGACGTCGTTACACGACCGACAGAGCAACGCGCCGGTCTCAATTATTCCTTGCTCATTTCACCTCTAACGTTTTTACGCACGAGTGGCGCATTAAAACACTGTACAGGCTCGCCTTTTGCCGTGCTGAAAGACTTTTCAGAGTGGCACTAAATCACCAGTATGGTCGCTGTTGTCTGCACCGCGTCCCGCGACCGGTGCTAGTGGGAAGCTGCAGCACCGATTCACCGAGCACGCAGACTTCACCTCCGCCGCTCGAGCTTCCCTCGATCCGCTCTCCATCTACCCCCCCCCTCCGACTCTCTTCAATGCTAGAATAGCAGGACTTCGCTTGTGCAGAATACTTCCACTATTTATAGACTTTATTCATCATATTTACTATATTCCACTTCATCCACACAATATATAGAGTTTATTCTGGACGGGTTTGAATAGAAGAAATGATGGCTGTGTAGATGGACGAATGAATGGATGCACGAACAGATAGTCTGATAGACGAAGGGCAAGATAGACAGATGTGTGGATGGACGGAGATGTCACCGCGCTGCAACTACAACCCGGCCACACACACACACGCGCGCGCCGGAAACGCACGCACGCACCTGCACGATCTTCCACTCCCTGTTCTCGATGGTGACGGGGAAGCTGTAGATGAGACCCGCGGGCACGCCGTAGGAACCGTCCGACGGCACGGCCATCGACACGTGGTGGCCATGCTTCGTGCCCTGGAACCAGTCGCGCATGTGGTCGGCGCACGCCTTCGCCGCCGACATGGCGCTGCTCAGCTTGCGCGCCGCGATGACGGCGGCGCCCCTCGACTGTACAGTCTGCAACAAAGAATCAAGCAAATGTTTAATTCGGGTTTAAACATAATCGCGTAAACTCCTGAAATTAAAACTGCCTAAATCCAGCAGGAAAGTCTAAATGGCCCGATGAAACAAGCAAACGTAGTTTAATTCAGTTTTAAACGTATAATCGTGTAAACTCCTGGAATTAAAACCCGCCTAAATTCAGTAGGAAAATCTAAATGACCAATTCCTGGATCGAGATTTGTTGCGAAGAGAGCACACTGACGACTGCAACAGGTGTATGGCAAAGATGGGATCACGGCAAGAGAACCAGTCAATGGTTTGACCTTGCCGAATGCCCTTAGCCTGCCACTCTGCTGCTACGTAAGAGGAAATAACCTTCATAATTCACATGGTTACATCCGTGTAAACCACTATCTGGCCAATGTTCAAGGACACAAAGAATGCTGAAGTGGAAGGATATTATCCCGTATTATTACTCGCGCTTCGACTCTGTACACATTGCACCCTGGCCCCGTGTGATATCAGCTGTTTGTTTCAAACAACTATTCTATAGTTACGTGGATCAGTCAGCACCCACCAACCAGCTGTCATATTGTATGCGTTATACTTATAGACACCCTATATCAGCCTGCTATGTGCAACTATTCCAAAGTACAACTATTTCATGGCCTGCTGGTGACAGAAAAGCCGTCTGAGCACCATAGTTATAAATAGCCATCCATGCCGCCACAACGTATCAGACATGCATCCTCGAAATGCCAGCACCCGCTATGGCTAGTGAAACAAGCACCGCATTTGACATGCCGAGTGCTTCGAGCAGCACGGTTACTAAGCTATTTTTATTTTGTCAATGAAGAACTTTCATATGAAGGCTCCAGCTTATGTTCAGGGAACAGTTCAGAACAGCTGAGAGAACATGTTCAGAGTTATGCGGGATGAACACCGCTAAAAATAAACATATCCAAATATGCAACTTGACTCAAAGGTCAATTAGACAATCAGATAAAAGAATCGATTAAGGCCAAAGATAAACCCTTATGCACACTTACCGCTACTGACACCACAGCGTAAAAAAAGCAGTAACCTTTATAGAACATACAGTCTCTAGGAATGCAATGAAGGTCCGTAGGCTAGTGTAGAGTACTAATGTATACACGCAGCATACCTTGATGAAGTCACCCTTCAGCCAGGCATCGTCGTTGCACGCGGCATAGACAGCCAGCGACTTTCCGCCCTTGTTAACCTTCGCGTGAGACACGTCTGGGAACTGGGTGGAGGAGTGGTTACCCCAGACAATGACACCGGACACATCCTGGATCGTAACACCGCACTTGGCCGCAATCTGTAAGCAAACATAACAGACAGGTTTATATACACATGTTTACACCTATTCAGCAGAATTCAGGAGGGGCGTGGAATATTGTTAAACTTAGGTGACTTCGGGCATAGCTAGTTAATATAACAAATTTCATTTGTGCAGCTGACTGGCTCCATCTGGTGACTGGAAATGCAACTTGCGAAAGAAAACCTCCAGTACTTTGTAGCTGTGTACAACGTACACAACACTACACACTGATCTATCTTCTCCTATCTGCACTATTACTAATAAAGTAAATACCATATGGTGCACGTGTTACGATTATAAATGCAGGTAGATAATTTATATATACATGGCAAATATATACGAAATTTTTCCACGTACCTGATGCTGGGCTCTGTTCTGATCAAGCCTGGTCATGGCAGAGAAGTTGCGAGTTGGAATAGAGGGTGCATACTTGGCAGCGATGCCAGCATTGGTGTTGGCTGGGTTTCCTACGACAATCACCTATAAACAGAACAAAACCACGTTAGTACAATAATATACACTCCTAACAGCAGCCTGCCATCGAGCGACAACATTTCAAAAGCAAACCACAGTGACACACTGTGACTGAGTAAATAGCTTCTCTAATTTTAACCAAAGAGAAAATTGTTTACACAGACTGTCCACACAACACTACTGCTCACTCTAACGTGCGGAGTATGCATAGTATGGACACACATAATCACGCCAGCAAAACTCTGGTGTGCCTTATTATTCCTACATCCATGCACATACGCACGCACACGCACACGCGCACACACACACACGCGTGCACACCAGCGCTCAAAAAGGCCGGTCGCCCGGTCGCCACAGGCGACTAAAAAGGCTATCGGGCGAGTGAAACTTGCCTAAACACTCATCCCCAGTCGCCCAAGAATGAACTGCTGGGCGATTACCTTTTTGCCAACTGTATGCAATATATTATATACATCGCCCCAAATTTCAGTTGGTCGAGTATCAGAAAAACATAAATAATAAATTTTTTCCCCTCTCAACGCACGGCAAACTTTACAGCTGGGCACAGCCATGTTGTTGTTCTCTCTTCACGTAAGATGACACACAGTCTCTCAGGTCTCATACATGCATAAACTGGTACCCGCTGTATTTCACTATACTGCATTAACAATTTAGTTAGCGGAACCAGACTAAGCTATACTAAGAAGCGGCCTCTTGCGGGAGAAAATGTCTCTCTGGGCTTACGATAGCAGCGTATGTTGTAGCGTTGCTATGCATCCGCATTTGATTACCCAACATGGCTAGCTCGTGGTCATTTATGAAGCAGGGCACTGCCCCACCAAAAAAATCGCTAAAAGGTAGGTTAATGTTTTACCTAGGCAGTTACATTACATACATTTAAATATAAATGGAATTACCTAAATAAAATTAATAGGTAATAATTTTATATCATGAATTATCCAATACTAATTTAGTAACTAATTACTGTTCCTAAGTCAGGATCGGCTCAGTCAGTGCTCCAATTTAGTGTCAATACTAGTCTGGCATTCTTACTACTACTAGTAGTAATAGTAGTAGTAATAGTAATATAATTTAGTCATAGTTATGCCTAGATAACCACAAGGAGGGACTGATGATGTGCAACTGGTGCACGCACGTCCACATTTCAGGACACTGAAAAGTCGAATAGTTTTATTAAGGGCTGCAATTCGGCAAAGCTAGAATCAGTCAAATGTCATGAGAAGAGTGAGTTACACACCCGTGCTGCAAAAATGATTGCTAACCGCAATGCTGCACCAGGCAAGACCGAGGCAGAGATTATGGTAAAAAATATGAACCAGGCCCCCATATCAAAATTAGTAAAGCTTGTTCGCAATGCACACGCACTGGCACTTGCTGGAAAACCACACACAGATTTTGTGTGGTTGGCCAAATTAGACAAGGCTAAAGGCTTAGATGTTGGCAACACATACATTAATGATAAGGCTGCGCATGAATTTACAGATGCTATTGCATCAGTCGAAATGGCACATCTGAAGGATGAACTCATGAATGCCAAATTTGTCTCCATCCTTTCAGATGGCACAACAGATATAAATGCACAGGAAAACGAAATCTTCTACCTGCGTATGAGTATGAAGGGCAAAATAAAGGTTCACTTCCTCAATTGTGCAACTCTCCCAAAAGGTGATGCTGAATCGATCATTGGGGCCATAAAGCGCTAATCAGTTCAGGCTACTGGTGTGCCATGGGAGAACTTCAAAGATAAACTTCTTGGCATGGGCAGTGATGGAGCCTCAGAGATGCTTGGTGTCAACAATGGCTTCATTATTCAAAACTTCGGTGTTCTTTGTGTCATTAGTGTGTTGCTATGCTGACATCTTCTCTATACTGTCCTGATAGGAAAATGCAATTTAATGTTGGGAAAGTTTTGTTTCGGGCCAGTGAATTTCAATTCTCACTGGCCCGAATTTTTATATTCAGGCTAGCTGGAATTTTCACGAGTTCCTAGCGCTGACGAACACATCTACCAGTGCTGCGGCACCCACCTTGACGGTCTTCTTCGCGAACTGGTCGAGTGCCTTGCCCTGGCTCTTGAAGATGCGCACATTGGCAGCGAGCAGGTCCTTCCTCTCCATGCCAGCCTTTCTTGGCATCGCGCCAACAAGGAGGGCTGCGTCGATGCCGGAGAAGCCAGTCTTCTCGTCGGCCGTCGCAACCACGCCTAAAACAAGCGGACAGTGCAATGACAAACTCCGCCGGCACACGTGCCAGCAGGCTTACATGACTACACAGTCCTGGTACAGCTATTGTCGCAATTCTTCAGAGAGTCTAGATTCCAGAGCTATAATACGTCGCGAGGTACACCTGAAAACTCAGAACCAACTCTGCAAACCATTTCAACAATGTTCAGGAAAAATGTTCTACACTTATCCATTACTTATGGCTTATAGCGTGGGGAAAAGCTACCTTTGCCTTTATGCATATATGTACAAGTATCACTTGACCTTTACATTTACACATGACTTACTCCTCAGTGTTGTGAAAGCGCAGTCGTTGAGCTCCATGGCAACACCCTCAAGGACGCCCATCATTGGTTCAATGTCGAGCATTACCAGGTCCAGGGGCTAGTAGAATAAGTGGACATTAGTAATCTGTAAAATGCGCAACACCTGTCAAAGTAACCTTCTAAACCAAAACACTTCAAAAGGTGATTGCAACTTTCGATGTATATTATTAATGAAACGATTTCGAATTCAAATGCAATCACAACCAAATGACTCACACACAGACGACATACATTACGCACGCAAACCGATTACGGTTCAACACACTTAGACGCATGTAGGTAGAGTACTATGTACCTGGTCATGGCCGAATATGTCGCCGTTGGCAACCATGTACAGGAGGGAGTAGCCGATCTGTCCGGCAGCTCCGGTGACCAGAACCTTGATTACTTCCTTTGGTGCCTACAGACAGCAAAGAACACGTGTGCGTCAATGAAATCAGTTTTATGAATACCAAAACAAAACGAGTGGGGGAAATGATCAGAAAGGGGCAACAGGCGACATTAGGGAATCGATCCTACTTTGGGATCCTTCATCACTGGCCCCTTATCTTCACCCCTAATCACTGAAATGATAAAGCCAATACACTTCATTCACCTCCGCTAATGAAACTGCATTCTGTCATTAAACATTTTATACTATATATATAATAACTACTTTCTCACTACATGTATATTAAACACATAGTCATGTATGTCTCGAAAACGAAGATTCCAAAGGCACATTTCTTGATGCCGACGACCCGATGAGATTCTTTCCCAGTGCTAGTAAATTTTTGGTAGAAACTTGGTAGAACTAGGCTTTGGTAGAACTAGCAGTCTCAGGACGTAGATGTTAGAAAATGTCAGAAAGATTGCCCAAGGTCACATTTAAGGTTTTCAAAGAATAACTAAAACATGGTGAAAATGTATGTGACAATTTTAAAAACATACTTCCTGTTTAAATAGCTGTTAAACTTACATGTAAAACTAGAGGAATCCATTAGTAAGGGCACACCCATGCAAACAAGAAACAACCGGAATGGGAACAGCAGAGCAACCTGCCACCTTCACTACCAAGGTCATCCAGCTGAGCAGGAGAGATTGAGAGAGAGAGAGAGAGAGAGAGAGAGAGAGAGCGGGCGGGAGAGAGAGAGAGAGAGAGAGAGAGAGAGAGAGAGAGAGAGAGACACGCAATGCCCTTTTCAAATCGACGGTTTTCGCACTCCCCCACAACCACCACCCGCTGCTCCCATAGTCACTAATAGCAACAGTTACCGTGGTAACGATGTCACGCCGTAGTCTGCGGTTGTGCGCATGCGTGAGCACGAGGCGGAAATGACCACTGATACGAGTATGAGATATTGTCTTCACAAAATTAATATTTAATAGTATAATTATTATTATAATTATTATTATTATTATTATTACTATAATAAT